GGGGCTGAATAATTTTGCATGCCCAATTTTTCAGTTTTTTATTTGTTAAAAAAGTTTGAAATATCCAATAAATTTCGTTCCACTTCATGATTGTGTCCCACTTGTTGTTGATTCTTCACAAAAAATTACAGTTTTATATCTTTATGTTTGAAGCCTGAAATGTGGCAAAAGGTCGCAAAGTTCAAGGGGGCCGAATACTTTCGCAAGGCACTGTATGTGAATTTGAACAATACATAACTTATCTTTGTACTGTTACAGAATGAATATGAGGTAAAATGGGTTTTCAAAACATTTCATTCAGTTTTATTTATAATTTACACAGTGTCCCAGCTTTTGTGGAAACAAAATTATACGTAAAACTGACCATGTAGTTTGTCTGCATGAAGCCAAGGTGTTACTGACATTTTGTGAAGCGCTAATGTTGTCTATAGAAAACTGTGTGCACCTCATACAGCAGAAATGTGCAGGATACTTGACCAAACATCATATTTGATGCCCTGGGTTGAGAACAAGTTGCAGAAGAAAAATATCAGAGCCCAAAAGTACACAGTTTCATTCAGGATTAAAATGAATACAGCATCACTTTCACTGACTGCACTTGTTACAGCTGTCAGGCACATTGATGTTAACTGACATTATTGTATGACATAATGAAAGAACTATGATCAGATGAGACTGGGCTGAACTGGCCTGAAAGGCAACAGCAAGACAGAAGGAAATAATCAGAGCCAAAAGCCTGCTACCATTGCCTCGCAGCAGATGCCTCAGCCCTGGCTGGTATTTTTATGCACTGGATGTCTTTCAAACAGACACAGAGTGTAAAAGGATGTCAGATAATGAAAGATGGTTAGAATGAGACTGAAAGAGAACTAACTTGGTAAACAGGCTGGAACTCCTCAGTGACTGCAAAAATAGTCTGAATGTTGTTGTCGCTCAGCTTCTGAACAAGGTGAGCAATGGAGGGATAATCCTTTAAAAGAAGATGGAGGAGAAAAATCACAATTACACTGCAACACACAGTCAACAACAAGCAGTAATGTAAGTAAGAGGACATTTCAATGTCTTTGGTTATAAAGCAGTCACAGCAACACTGAACTACTTACATAATAATGACTCATTGTGTATACATTGTTTTCCAAGTGACATTTTCCATCATTAGGCAGTACAATGCCACCCAGTTTGCCATCTCCAGCAAAGTGGAAGCCAGCATCAGTTGAGAACACCAGCAGACGAGTCACATTCCTCCAGCCAATCTGCTCCTGATGAATGAGAAAAAAAATGAAATTACTATTACAAATTTTAGTTTTTTTCACTTTGCTACAAGCTTTATATCAGCAGTCTAAAAACTATTAAACAGCTCAGAATGTGACACATGAACTTTTTATTATCACTGCATTAAAAAATCTCCATGTAAACATCGGTGCCTTTCTGTGTGGAGCTTGCATGTTCTCCTTGTGCCTGCATGGGTTCTCTCCGGGTACCCCGGCTTCCTCCCACTGTCCAAAGACATGCAGCTTAGGTGGAGTGGCGACTCTAAATTGTCCCTAGGAGGGAGTGTGGTTGTCTGTCTCTGTCAGCCCTGTGATAGACTGGCGACCTGTCCAGGGTGTACCCTGGCGCTTGCCAAATGTCAGCTGGGATTGGCTCCAGCACCCCCGCGGACCTCTTCAGGATGAGTGGTATAGATAATGGATGGATAGATGGTTCTGTATTTCACCAAGCAAGTACCATACTTGTGGGAAAGTTGCTTTAAACTGTGAACCTGAACATAATTATTTCCCACAGGATCATTGAAAGACAAAAATGTTTCTTTTTCTTACCCCACAGACAGCCACTTGCATGATGGCATCAAAGCCCCCCTCAGGAGAGTCCAAGTTTCCAGAGATGTGCTGCTGGCCTACCAGGGTGTTGAATTTCTTGCCGTCGCTAGTCAGTTTCAGGACGTTTTTGTAGCTAAAGGGGCTGGTGCAGTTATCACCTGTGCATGGGTTCAGCACTTTTGCTGGGGTGGTGCTTATGTAAGGCATGACTGTCTTCTCCACAAAGGAGCCAAAGCCTTTAAAGGACAGATGGATTCAGTTTGACATTTACTGACACCAAGTGCTGAGCTCTGAGAGTAAACTAAATGAATTCAGAGAAGGTCAAAAACCTTCCAAATGTTTACATGGCATGGACACCTGAAAATACAAGTCAGCCAATCAACTTCACTAACACAACCCTATCACTTAACCAGACCTACCCTCCACCCCCACCTCACCCTCCACCGCAAGACAAAAGTGCTACAATTGTACCCCAACCCCACACAAGTTCAACCTGCCTCAGGAGCTGCTGATACAGTTCTACGAAGGAATCATCGAGTCTGTTCTCTGCTCTTCCATCTCTCTTTGGTTTGGCTTGGCAACCAAACAGAACAGGCTCCTACGGATGGTCAGAACTGCGGAGAAAATCATCAGTGCCAGCCTGCCCTCCATGGAGGACCTGTACACCTCACGGGTCAGGAGGAGGGCAGAGAGGATTTCTGCTGACCCCTCACACCCTGGACAAAAACTCTTTGAACTCCTCCCCTCTGGATGGCGCTACAGGTCTCTGTACGCCAAGACAACCAGACACAGAGACAGTTTCTTCTCCTGGGCTATTGCACTCTTGAATAGCTAGTCTGTGTTTTGCTCTTTTAACTTGTATATATTCTGTATTTATTCTGTTTTTATTGCTGTGCACATCAGGGGCCATTGGGCTGGAGTCAAATTCCTTGTATTTTTGATCATACTTGGCAATAAAGTTTATGCTTTATGCTTAATTTAAAAAGTCACGAGTATCATTATTTCTATATAGTAGATTTAAACTTCTTACTAAAGAAAACTGTCAAGTCAATGTAAATATACAATGCTGGTTCCAATGTTTGGAACTATTTGATGTCCCCATAATCCACGATAACTAAAAAAAAACAAAAAAAAAAAACCAAACACAAAAATAAAACCTGTTCTTATAGAGCCAATGGAGATGTCACCACTCTCAATACACTCAGAACAAACATTAATGTTTAAACTTTGCATTGATGACAGCAGACTGTGGACTATCAATGTATTGATCCAGACTGATGGACTGTTACACCTCTAATGTATCTTTTTTTTGTTTGTGTTGTTTTGTTTTTGGGAATGGAGGGCAGTGAGGGTAGAAAAAAATGAGAAAAAAAACTTTCTGGGTTTTATTAGATTAACAAGAATTTGGAACACCAATGAGAAGAAACTAAACACTCACTGAGAATACAATAATTACATTCGTGATTTACATGTGTTATAGTTTCAATTGGGAAAGGAAAAACAAGTTAATGAGAGCTCTACAGCCTGCACCTGCAGGGGTGGCATCAGGCTGTGGTTTGGGGGTTGGCTGTCTCGAGGCTATTGTTCCATCTTCTGGTATTGCGATATGAGACAGTGGGCAATTGTGTCACGGTTTCCAGCCTTGGTTCAGAATTGTTACACCCCTACTGTATGAACCAAGAGCAACCAAAAAAAAAAACGAGGCATAAAAAATTATTCATTTATTTGCCTCCAAAAGAAACAAACTGTCAAATGTCTTCCCTCTTAATGAAATAACTCACCTATCCTGAAGTCAGAGGTGATCTTCTCCATCTCCAGCATCAGACTGGTTCCCAGGTTCTTGACATTCTCTAGATCATCCTTCATGGAGTATGACAGGTCCATCAAATAGTACAGATCGATGGGATAATCTTCTGCTCGTTTGAACTTCAAGTCAAAAGACTGAGGTTCACCTACATGAAGTTACAATAATTAAAGAGCATAGTGGTCAAAGTCAGTCATCAATATCCCAAAACCAAAGGAAGCTGAGAATGACTTTAAAAAAAATGTATTCTCACCAGATCTGAGGGTGAGGCTGAGTTTCTGGGGCTGGATCTGAGTGATGTCCTCTGGCTTCAGTTTGGCTTCTGCACCCTTTTTGCGATTTGTCACTGTTTTGTTACTGAGGAACTTCTGTTGCCCACGTGGGTTCTCAATCATTGTTGCATGACAGCCCCTTTTCATTAGGGACTGCAACTCATCACAGCGGGTTGACACAGTCTCACCCTGTTTCAGAAAGTTCTAAGAGTTGCAGAGGGAGAATGAAAGTGAAAATCTATTTATTTGTTTGGAGCACTATTCAGCTGGCAAAAGCTGTTCATGCTCTACAGCAGTTTTGTCAAGTCTGAAGAAGTAATCTTGTTAATGCCATCAAGGTTATATTGGCCTAGGCTTGGGAAATTTAAGGTTATAACATTCAGAAAACCCTGTATGACAAATTGGATGCACTGGGTGAAAGACATGGGCGTTTATCAGGCAGGGAGGGTCTAACAAAAGATACTACTGCATTGCATTATGGGCCATGTAGGATCTATAGTTAAATACTCTAAAAACAAAAGGATATTTTGGCCTCTGCTGCTCTGATCTGAACCATTATTTTTTCAATATTTCTCTCACAGGCCCTGCAGTTTCGTGAAAGCAAATGCAAATTTGTGAAACCAAACATAAAATTGTTGGAATACCCCTTTAACAGCACAGGCTGGAAGTGACATGTCTAGAACTGGACTGACTTTGCCTGCAATATCAACATTGCTTTATGAATTGAGGGCAGGCTAGTTCTGAAACAAATAGTTACTCCATTCTCAGGTGATTAATTGACAACAACATCATAATAGAATTAAATTGCATTTCTCAGCAGTGAATATAACTGATGACTTTGAATCACATACCGGGTCTGTACACCAGCCACATCTGTCTCCAGCCTGGATGCACTCCCCGCAGTATTTGGCATTAGCATTGATGCACTCATTCCCTTCTGGATGGAAAACAAAGAGAAAAGAGGAAGCAGAATCAGAGGGAGAACTGGTACACCGCAGTCCCTGCAGCCTGCTAGATCCCCTGTGTCTCCGGGTCAATTCGCGTGGGGCGGTGTTTCGCTCCATGGTAATTTGAGTCAAAGTAAGAATACTCCATCTTTTCCATTATGCTCTATGATGCTGAGGTGGAGCTCCACTGGCGCTGGTCAGTAACATCAATAAGCTAAAGTAACCAACATCTCTCTCCTGGGAGGGAGTCATCACTATAAACTATACATTTATTATGCAAGCTGATATCAACAAAATGACATCATGCAAGGCAATACTGTTTAACAAAATGAGATCTGACTGAGCAATCTTACCTTTCTGAGAATTACAGTAACAGAAGTGCACTAACAATGTAGATATCAAAACCAGCTTCAGTTCCATCTGAAAGCACACACAAGAAAAAATGTTTTTAATGTGTTGTGGTCTCAATATAAAAACAGCTATTGTTGTTTTGAAAAGCAATACCCCATTTGTGACTATCTCCTTGTTAACGATAATAGCCGGTGTGCTTGGTTGCCTGAAAAAACTCATAATGTGCTGGACAAAAGGGTCCAGCGGAGCGAGCAAGAGACAACAAATTGAATCTGCAAATGGTTTGGCTATAACTGTAGGTTATAAATTATCCAGAAGCAGGGGCTTAGCTGTTCTCAGCTAATTCAATTCAGACTACTTTCACACACAAACACATATGCACACACGCAGACACATCACATCACCTTGCCTCTAGATTAGACTGCAGCCTTCTTTCTACAATCCCCTTTACTATAAATAGCACTGAGTCCCTTGAGTCAACCCCTCTCTTGTCATGTATATTGATCGCTTGTTTGTGTGCTGTCCTTTTGCTCAGCCACAGCAACACATCTTGTCTTACTGCTAAAGCAAAGCTCATGATTTATTATGGGTACTAAAGGGCCATTCTCTGCTCTATACATCAGATTTGTTAACAGTGTACCAAACAAACATGAACAAAAATAAGTCAGACAAAAACAAAGCAGAATAGGAAAGACAAATTACTAAATGCAGGTGGATGAAAAGAAACAAATACCATAAAAGAGAAAGGGTGAGGGCAGCAATGAAGAAGGCTCTGTCACCCCAGGTTTGATGTTTGGTCCTCTAGGGTAGAAGAAAGGAGGTGTTGGTGTTGGTGTGATGGTGGCGGAGTTCAGAAAGGTGGTGGTGGTGGTGGTGGTGGGGGGGGGGCATATTGTGGAGGACTCTGAAGGTGATGAGGAGGGTTTTCAATTAGATGGAGGCGATGAATGTAAACCAACATCCAGTGTGACTGTAAATCACAACCTCATGGTCATTTTTTAGAATCTAAACTGTAGCTAACACCTACCACACTGGATAGTAAAGCATGAGGTTCAATTTAGAGCCAGCCAGACACTGATAAAGTATGTGAGCTTTATATAGACACAGAAAGGCAGACAGCCTGTCTGCAGCCCTCCCAGATTAGACTAGCTGGCTTAAATCTCCACTGCGTTACATGGGCGCTGTGTGTTACGTTGTGTTTCCACTTAAGCTAAATACCACATCAAACTAGGCTCTGCCACCATCCCCATTGCAACACTGAAGCTAATAAACTTTCAAGAGAATAAAGATGTCACAGCATGTTTATGTGATGTCCTAAAATGAAAGGTCTGTAGAGTACAGGATTTAGGTGAAACAGGTATACATATTGTGAGAGTTTGTCATAAAGTACAGACATTTATAGTATGTAAGAGGTTTAATACACAGCTTGGAATGAAAGAATTTAGGCTCTGATTCACCACAAAATCACAAACTCACATATTTTCAACAGCCCAACAAGCTAGATAATGCCAGTGAAAACAGCACTGGTTATTTTCTTAAAATAAAATAGTTTATTTAGCTCCCATGCTCTTCCTGTCTCTCTCAGTCAAACCCCACCAGGCATACATCCACACTTTACTCCTCGATGCCTGTCCACTTTTTACACACCTGAGCTGTGACTGATAGCAGCCCAGTGTTTTTTAGGGCTTGAGGAGCTACATGAATTGGCAAGAGAAGGTGATGTATGGCAGAGACCATGGTGCTAAAAATGGGCTGAGCATCTCAGGAATTCCTAAGGGACTGAATGCTGCCTGACCAGGATAGTAACCTGCAACACTGTTACTGCTGCTCTTGGAAAAGTGAGTCATGCCACCCATGATGCAGAGATACTCTATTATTAACACCCTGATTCCCACAATCCCCTTTCTATAATTTGTTGCTATTAATTCAGTACTTAACAAGTGATGAATCCATTATCCAATTAATTGAATAGTTAGCTGAATTAAAAATGTTACTGTTTAGGTCACTTTTCAAGCAAAAATGCCAAAATTCACAAATGTTTTATAGCACTACAAAATGAATGGGTTTTGGACTGTTGGTCAGAAATCAGATGATGAAACAAAAACACCTGAATAAATTCAAACCTGAACTCCAATCAGACCCAGAAAAGATACATTGCAAAATCAAAAATAAAGAACTGATGGCAGATTGGAGTCTGTGTGCCTTTTGTGGTAGAAGGCCTGGGCCACTCAGATTTCTTCTCTTGCCATGAAAGGAAGAAATGGAAAAGAAAGAAAAACAGGAAAGGGCGTTGCACAGCTGGAGAGAAATGGGACGGCCTCAAGCCCAAATGACAGAAGCTTACAGACTTTCTTCACCTCTGCAGAGATATTAGTAGCTCTTTATTCTTTCCTCCCTCCTCCATTTGTAAAGGGCCTTTTTAATGTCAACAGAATATTTGATCAAGTTAAATAAGTGAAAATGAACTTATTTGCATGGCTACAGTATCTTGAGTTTAGTAAAAATTCCAGGAGGCACTGGCATTCTTTATTCCTGTCCTCCCTCTGTTGCTATGTAGTTTCCTTCCTCTGTCTCTATCTGTGTTCCTCCTTCCTCGTGCCATACTCAATTGCTCATCTCATTCCCTCCACAGTGAGCTGAGCCAAACCAGTGTCCTTTTGACTTTATATACCCTTCAAACAGTGCAGAACTGAGAACATGTATGAGCTCTGAGACATACAAGCTGCCGAAAGAACTGAAAGAGAATACTAAACAGTGTCCTTTTGTCTCTATCAACCCACCACTTCCTACCATCAAAGTACTTCACATTTATTAGGTAGTCAAAATTTGCTCCCTACCTTTAGCAGTTGCAACATTAAATGTGCTGTACACAATATCATGTCTGTAATTATAATCCAATAATATGAAGTACATTAATGTAAACTGCGAATTATAATCCAATAATATGAAGTACATTAATGTAAACTGCGATTCTGCATAATGAGTACTTTTACTTTTGGTACTTTAGTATGTATTGATGCTATTACTTTTGCCTTCCCTGGTAGGCTAGTGGTAAAGGCGCAGCGCTCTTGCCACAGAGCCTTGGGTTCGAATCCAGGTTGCGTCAGGAAAAGCACCCGGTATAAAACATGTACCAAAGGTCAACATGCGAGTCGTCAGTGTGACGATTTGCTACGGCGACCCCTAAACGGGAAAAGCCGAAAATGACTTTCTTTTAGATGCTAGTGCTTTTACTGAAGCAATATTTTGAATGCAGGACCTTTACTTGTAACTGAGTATTTTTACACTGCAGTACTGTTAGTTTTACTTAAGTAAACAAGTACATCTTCCACCACTAGGTGCAGTTACCTGGACAATATTTTTCCAATCAGCAACACTGGTAGAAGTAGTAAGCTCGAGGTGAGTGTGGGCCCAATTTTATTACCATTGAAAACTTTTACCCTCTTAGTTGCTCCAACTGTAGTCAACTGTGTTATTTTCTTTCCCAAGGAACACTTAAAAATTGTGTCTTGTGTATCCCTATTCAGGGCCTACATTATGGAAATTCTTTATATACTACATTCTTCACATAGTTTATGTAAACTAAGTATGTAAAGAAATGTTAATAAGGTATTTTACAGCAGTCTCATAAATAGATGGGAAAATCCAAATTGAGATCAACTTCTCCGCTCTATAATGGTTTAGCTAAGTAATAGGAGTGGTAGCTACAGCCTAAATTCTAGGTTTATCAGTGGCTCAACAGACAGCTTGTTGCTGGTTTGAACATTCTGCTCCTCCTTTCACACACACTCTCCCACAACATTGTATGCTGCCTTGGAAGGACTTTCTAACTTATCTAATCATCAAATCAATAACACTTAAACAGTTCTGGTTTCTTTTCTGCACTTAAAACACATTCATACTGAACAGTGTTCACATCTCATCACATCGTGCTCTCCCACAGCAGTCCAGCAGAAACAACTGAGCCAAAACCACAACCTTGGAGCACGGCCAAATCCATATGTCTATTCATAGCTCTATCTTTGTGTTGTGCAGTGCTAACAAGTTATTTTTGACTCTTTCTCTGTTAACCTCTGTAACCACTCCAGAAGAACTAGATCACAAGAAACACAAAAACACAAATGTGCCTCAACCCTTTACAGATGTAACCTAGTTGGATACTGCTTACATCGTACAACCAACCTAGTGTGGATAATATAAATAATTAGTAATGTGTCAATTTCCCTGTAATGTGTCATTCTCAGGGTAGAAAAATGTGTCACACAATTAAATAACTCCAGCTACTGTTGCATTTTTTAAGTAAAAGAGTATAACCTAGCAGAAACAAGCCTTTTTAAGGTACTCATCTGTTTTACCATTTATGGTGATCCTCTGTAGAGAAGGGCAGAGCTTCCAGTTCTCACCACTAACCACCAGGCTAAAATGTAAGCTAGTTTTGAGGCCCTTGTGGGGTTGCCTGGCTGTGAGAGCACGAGTCCAGGGCTCAGCCTGTGGACCTGAAATCTGTTGCACAGTAAGCCTCAACAAACTCCCTGTCTTTGCTGAACTAGTCCTTTCTTGCTGCAGCACAGAACTCTCAAATGGATCATACAGGATGCATGTATCATGGTGCCCATAAAGCATTTCACCTCCCTCATGATACTATACGGTTCACACAAGGCTGAAGTTATGCCCAAGTTATGTAAGCATCTTTTAACTCTAGCTATAAATGTACTGTTTGTGTGTAATCTACCCACTCTGATGGTATTCTATTGCATAGTCCATATTAACTTGTAACTTGAACCACTACAGTGACATATTTGACATTCAATTGTAGAAGGAAGTGAAAAAGGGCAGAGAGAAAAGAGTGACAGGGAGGGACCAGACTGCCTTGTTAGAGAAAGCTGAAAATGTTGCAAGCTGCCAAATAAAAGTATACTGTATTTTCTTTGTGAATTAAGCCAGTCTAATTTCCAGGTCATTGCTGTAATCTGGGCTCTGGGAAAAGATAAAAAAGCCTAGAAACAAAGAAAGGAACAATTTACATACACAGTTAATTAATTATTATTAAACAATCTGATGGGATGGAGGTAAGGATAAAGACCAGTTCACTTGATGGTGAATAATGGTTCTATCAGTCTTCTGTTACTATTTTTGGAGAGGTAGGGCATGGCACAAAGAAATGATTAGAACTGAGTTGGTGCTAACTGATGTCATAATTTGGATATTTTAAAAGATTATTCACCATTGTGAGTGCTGAAATGGCTGCAGGCCTGTGGCCAAAGCGCATGGCTGCATTGCTAAGCACTCCCAGCACATCCTTGAGTCCCCAGTGTACGAGTCCACGTAAAGTCTTGAATTGTCAGTGTTCAAGTCCCGAGCGTTCGAGTCTGATGTAACTCTCTCTTTTCCTGGTTCCGAGTGGGTCGACGCTGCCTCTGCTTCAGTTCCTGTTCTTCAGTGTGCTGAAGACGATGTCCTTGCTGAGGTCCCTGTTCCTGAGCGGGTCGGTGTGGACACCGTCTTCTCTGCCCCTGCTCCCAAGCTGGTTCAATGCTGCCTCTGTTCCTGTTCCCAAGTGGAAGAGAGCACCCTCTGCTCCAGCCTCGGTGTGGATCTACAATGGCATTCCTTGCCAATGTCATGTTGGCTTTTGTTTCAGCCCATAGGTTGCACAGAGATGTCACACCAGTTCCCGTTTCTCGATGGGTCAACGACTTCGAAACCTCCACTGTTCCACTTTTTGAGAGGGTCAACAAAGTCATCAATGCCACCTTGGTCCCGCCTGTTCTCTAGTGGATTGATGCCACCTTGCTTACTCTTGTTCCCCACCCGGTTGAAAACAACTTCCCTCTTGTTCATATTCCCAGGGAGTTCTTTGACACTGCCTGCTTCTTTGCTGAAGTGGACCAGCAAGAATGCCGCTGCTACCTCAGTTCCTGGTCCCAAGTGGGTCGGTGAAGACACCAGCACCACCTCAGTTCTTGGTCCTGAGCAGGTTAGCACTGCCACAGTTCCTGTTTCTGCAAACATAGTAACTTCTCCAGCCTTACAACAATTCTCTCTAATGTTGCAGAAAGTAGCTCCAAGGTCGGTAAATTCAACCGGTGGTCACTGCATCTTCCCCCACATGACCACATACAGTACCAAAGTAGTGAAATGAATTACCCTGAGCCTTCCCTTAGTTATGCTGCTATAGGCCTTTGCTGCTGGGGGGCCCCATAATGCTCTGAGTTTTTTTCCCCTCCTCCTCCCCTCTCCTCTCCTCTCCTCTCCTCTCCTCTCTCTCCCTATGCTTCTATATGCCACCATTACACATCACTAACTTTGTGTCTCCTCTCTCCCGTAGTGTGTCCTCTCTCTCTCCCTGTACCTTTCTGCAGGTTGCCCTGGCTGGTGCTCTGGAGCTCTATGTTTCTGATGAGCAGTCACCGGCCACATCAACCAGACCAGTGTGTGATTGTTTGTTGTGTCCTGTTGCTTTTCTTCTTTTCTCTCTCCTCTATCCACTCACCCCAACCGGTCTAGGCAGAAGGCTGCCCACCAAGAGCCAGGGTCTGTCGGAGGTTTCTTCTGTTAAAGGGAGTTTTTCCTCCCCACTGTCGCTAAGTGCTTGCTCAAGGGGGATTTGTTGGGTTTTCCCTCTGTAATAATAGTGATAACAGTAAGGTCTAGACCTTACTCTGTAAAGTGCCCTGAGATGACTTTTGTTATGATTTGGCGCTATACAATAAAATTTGATTTGATTAATTCCAACAGGTAGGGTAGCACCGACAATGACATCATGGGTGGTTAATCCGCCTGTTAACCAGCAACACATCACATGGAGCAGACACACTGACCTCAAGCAGTCAAAACAAACAGGTACTGTGCTCCAGGGGAATCTAGCATTGATGAGCTGAGCAGTCACTGCTGTGAGGGCTTCACTGGCTAGCTGCTTGCCTGGACATGCAGTAACCTCAGGCCCTGTACTTTTCTCCACATCCTCCGGCCACAGTGCAGAAGCAGGAGGTAAAATATATCCATAAAACTGGGTGCAGTCGAAAAATTCCGCTTTTACAACGGCATCGGTGGTTGTCTTTTTTTTTTTAAATAAGTTTTATTGAATATATACATAACAAACAAGGCAATATAACATTTTGGTGGGGATGCTGGAGGGTGTCAGGCATGCTCACATGAACTCCCTGGAGATAATGCCCCTTCAGGGAGATTCTTTAACTGTCACATAATACTTTTTTTTTTTCTAACAAAATTGTCTTACGAGCGAGAGTTTACAAGACGTGTATAAACCGAGTCACTTCTGCATTAGAACATACTTAAACCTCATATTTTTTAGCTTTAGGTCATGTCTAAGATGATAATTCACTGTTGTAACATTGAAGATAAGTCAAAAAACAAGGAAAAGCATGCCATGGGCCCTTTAATATACACATGATAATGTCTCCACTGTTCCTGTACTCCGGTCGGCCGACAATAACTCCACCCTTATTCCAGTACAGAGGTCGACCACCTGAAGAGCCCCAGCTCTTTGTTTGCCACTGAGGTCAACCACAGCAGAGACCTCAGCCCCCCACCTGTCCGTGAAGTCATCCTCCTGAACAGCTCTACCTCGCTACCAGGCTCTGTGGCCACCCTCCTGTGTTGCCTCACAACTTTATCTGCTGTCAGGGAAGACCTCCGTAATGTCCCCAGTTGTCTGCCTAGCTATGGGACCGACCACTGGAATGACCAGAGATACAGTAGCTTCCCGCATCAGGAGAAGCCACATTGAACAGTTCCAGTTTTCTGCCTGATCCCAGGGATGCCCCCCCTGAATGGTCTCATCTGTCTCCTGGTTCCTCCCTTATTGCAAAGTTCCATGTGGGTCATCTGGACCAGAAAATTCAGGTACCAGGAGATGCCCATTAAAGAGCGAGGTAATGTCACATTCTGGGTCTCATCTGTTCCCTGTGCTTGCTGTAATATCCTATTTTGCTCTCCTGGCACTCTCTCTCCACTGCTGCAGATAATCATGCCCCCTCCCTCTCACCTGGCTGCTTGGCTCCAGCTAGTGTGAACTGGGTGCTTCCTTGTCATTGCCTTCATCTGTTGCCACACTCACCTTGTGTGTTCCTGCCAGAGAGATTGCGTATCTGCCCATTCTCACACCTGTGCAAAAGAAAAGTGTAGCTGCAGTTACCGGTAGCCAACTCACCTATCCATGTCTGTGCCTGTGAAGAAGAAAAGTAAAGTTTAATCTCCATGGAGAAAGAAGAAGAGAGAGGTTAAGTATATTTACCTGTCCACACCTGTAGAAGAGAAAAGAAAGTTAAGCTGTGCTTACCTACTGTCTGTTCACCTGTAAAAGGGAAAAAGTAAGCTGTCCTAGTAGAGAAGATGTCAAGGTGCCTACCTGTTGCCTGCTGTCATGTTTCTGCCCCGTTCACTTCCTGCAAGTACACTTTTATTCTTTACTGCTTCCTGTCCCCAGCTCACCCTGTATTCCGGGGAACTTCATGTCATCATTCAGGTTAGTTTCACCTGCTACTTAATCAACCACAGCTGTTCCTCACAATATATAGCAGCTCCTCACTCTGTGGGGAGCTGCCAGATTGTTCTATGCCTCAACTAGACTCTACTGCATTCTTTCTACCTGATTATCTGAATACCAACACCCTGCCTGTGCTATTGACCCGAGATTCTGCCTCACCCTTCTTATTGGACTGCTTTCTTGGTAACGACACCTTGCCTGCATTAACGACTAGAGATTCTGCCTTGCCTTCCCTACTGACCTGCTGGAGATATTGACTGTGGACCAAGCTAAGTACTGCTCTCTGCCTAAGCCCTGCAGACTGGTGCTGTGTATATCTGACTCTGTTCCTAAAGGCATTATTAAAACCTGTTGTGCTATTCCAGCTTACTGGCTCTTTAATCGGGTTCACACCTACACCTCCATGGGAGCTGTACTTTCACCTCCCTGACAGCCTGCCTATAGACACTACACTCTGGATGCACCTAAACTCATCAAAGTTAAGCAGCGCTGACCGTGGCCAGTGTTCATATGAAAGACAAGTAGATGAAGTTGCTCTGCATTCTCCAGGTGTCTGCAGAAATAACACAGCTAGCGACCTAGCTGTATTAAGTTCACAGTCACTTTTTGGGGGCGACTGTGGTTCAGTGGGTAGAGCAGTTGTCTCCCAACCGGAGGGTTGGAGATTTAAATCTCGATGCCTGCAGTCCACATATCTAAGTGTCCCTGGGCAAGACACTGAACCCCCAAGTTGCCCCCAATGGTTAGAGCCATTGGGTGAATTGGTGCCACAGATGGCTGCCTCGGTTCTATACTGGAAACAAATTCTGTGTGTGTGTGTGTGTGTGTGTGTGTGTGTGTGTGTGTAACATACTTGGCCAAATAAAGGTGATTATTATTATCATTAGAGCCGCTGGCCAACCATTCCCGTATGTATCTTCCCTATTTTTTCATAATTTCTAACATTTGCTATTAGACTGACATACCTGTCTTGTCCTCTCGGGGCTCTGTCCTCTGTGTGCATGTGTGTGTCTGACTGTGACATAAGGTAATTTGTTCTGAGCCTGTTCCAAAAGCAGCTGATTATTAAACATATGGTACCTAGTAATAAGTTAATTAAGTAGTTTACACAAGAATGTTACTAGCAAGAGATGCTGGGGAAGATGTTTTCACTTGTTTTTACTAAAAGTACTGTAGCAATAGCACACTGTGAACATGACATACTCATACAGTATTAAAGTTTACATAAAAGGTTTTATCGGCAAAATGTAATTAAAATATGAAAAGTGTAAGTCACCATAGTGCTGAAACGTGGTCCTTGGCATTTTTTAAATTATATACATAGACCGATAGGTAATGTATTTTCACTGCTGCATTGATGTATATGTGTATTTAACTGCTGCGAACACTGCAGCCACATATCCCACATTCAACATTCTAGATATAGAACTGTGAAACTCACACATTGATCTAACAAATAAATACAATTGTAGTTAATTTTCTATTTTTCATTTCATGTACATGTATCAGAACTGAAGGGTTACACAGAGCATGAATAAAGTTGAATTTCCAAGTACAAACTCTTTATCATTGAACCGAGTGCTGCTGCAAATTAAAGAAACATAAATATTTATTTTCCATCTCAAAAACCCTCACAGGCAATCTTCATAGTGCTACAATAATAAAGACAGTATGATAGAACTCAGTCTACCAAAGTCTGCTACTATTTACTACCAACATAGCATGTGTAGCCTAGCTTTGTCAGCAGACTTTGGCAGTTGAGGTCAGCTTCAACCACACTATTCCTCCTCAGAAGCCATTTTTAGAAAGAGGAGGTCTCTAAAAAGGCCCAGAAGGGTATCTGAGCTCCATACACAGACAGAGAGGCACAGAGTTCAAGATGAAGAGCAAAGGCAAATGTTTTGGCTAAAAAAAATCCTCTAGAAGTCACAAACTGAAACCTCCCCCTGGGCCCAGCCTGCAATCTAGCTGCAAAAATAGACAAATCTATGCCAAAAACTGTATCTGGAAGAATGGAACAGAACAAAAGCAGCAAAGGAATTTATTGTGTTGAAAAGTAAATATAATTGTGTGGATGCTGTAAAGCATCCACACTATGCTCTTCTGTTCTTTATTGTGTGGATACAAAGCACCCACACTATGTTATCCTATTCTTTATTATTGTGTGGATGCGAAGCACCCACACTATGTTATCCTGTTTTATATTATTGTATGGATGCTGAAAAGCACCCATACTATGTTATCCTGTTCTTATTTTTCTGATTTCTTCCATCCGTTTTTCGGCACTTAATTTCTTCAGCATACTTTCAGCTACAAAAGCCATTAAGGTATCAAAATGTTCAACTCTTTAAGGACATGTGTGCTTGTATTTTTATTGTTTGTAACATATATATACTTTTAAAACTACTTAGCTTTTTTAGCAAAATTTTGCCCATTCAAATGAATGGGACAAATTTTCACATCTTAATATCTTCAGCATACCTTTAGCTAAAACCACAATTTCAATTAATAACCATTCAGCAACTCTTCAGCTATTCATACCGTAAACAGCTTTTTGATATTTTTTACATTTTTTTGCATAATTACCATTTACATTTTATGTCTCATTTCAATAGCCACACTCTAGTATTCCTGTGTGTAGGACTACTCTGACAAACACACACACACACACACAGACAACCCTACTTGTTTTACCTACTTTGTGGGGACCAATGGCCATTTTTCACATCTTAATAAGTTCAGCATATTTTCAGCTATAAAAGCCATTCAGGTATCAAAATGTTCAGCTCTTCTAGGGCATTC